TAGTGCCTGAGCTAACTAATACTGGTAAATTTGTGTTACGTTGTTTTTTTGTAAATGGCTAGTCAGTTCCAACTGGTTGGCTTTGTGTATTATTTTATGTCAACACTGTTACTATGTATATGTTATTTCAATGTTACCTCAAATGTCATATACGTTGGCAACAAAGCTCTTATAAAACGTTTGCCTCTGAATTGCTTAACAGCATTTTATGATCATTGTATTCATTTTAATATCCTCTTTGCCATTTCTTTTTAAATCTGACCAGTGTTTCTCTAGGGGAAATTAATATATAAATACAAATGAAAGATGGAAGTAGAAAAGATCAACCTTGTGTCACAGACAGTTTGCTTGCCAGTTTGAACCCACACAGTGATACCATGAAAGAAAGGCCTGACAATCTGTTTCTGTTAAGACTATACCCAAGAAAACTCAACTCTATCACATTGGATTGCCATGAATCAGAATTGACTGAAGCCAATAGGTTTAGGTTTTGTTGTTTGTTATTCAAGATAGAAATGGAGTCGGTATACAGATCTAGAACAAATTTCCATTAACTTTCTATACCGAAAAATAACTTGTGACTTAGGGTCAAGATCAAGAAATAAATAAAAGAATAAGAAAATAAGTGAAAAATAAAAGATGACTAAATGGGTTCACATGGATATAGCTATGTCCATAACTTGATTATCTTTGTCTTGGTTATATAATCATGATATTATATACAATTATATTTTATACCCCCAAGTGGTTCTTGTTAGTCTAAATGGCCTGAAATCGTTTTTGGAAATCAAATTATTTCCCTATATTATGATTTTTAATGCCTTTAAAACAAACCCAAGATAACCCTCAAGATTATTGAGGAATTTGGCTATGATTGTTAAATTTCTAATTTATATTTTGTTTTTCCAGAGTTATTTGTACCAAATCCTACAAGGAATTGTGTTTTGTCACTCTAGAAGAGTTCTTCACAGAGACTTAAAACCTCAAAATCTATTGATTGATGACAAAAGAACAATTAAACTGACCGATTTTGGGCTTGCCAGAGCTTTTGGAATACCTATTAGAGTTTATAAACATGAGGTAGTAACTCTCTTGTATAGATCACCAGAAGTATTGCTGGGGTCAGCTCGCTATTCGACTCCAGTTGACATTTGGAGTACAGGCACCATATTTGCAGAGTTAGCAACTAAGAAACCACTTTTCCACAGGGATTCAGAAATTGATCAGCTCTTCAGGATTTTCAGAGCTTTAGGCACCCCCAATAATGATATGTGGCCAGAAGTAGAATCTTTACAGAATACATTTCCCAAGTGGAAACCAGGAAGCCTAGCATCCCATGTCAAAAACTTGGACAAAAATGGCTTGGATCTGCCCTCGAAAATATTAGTCTATGATCCTGCCAAACAAATTTATGGCAAAATGGCACTGAATCATCCATACTTTAATGATTTGGACAGTCAGATTAAGAAGGTGTTTCTGTATGTTGGATCAAGAACATATCCTTTTACTTGTAACTATTTTTGTCATGTGTACTTATCTTTTTTGTAAAACTCAAGCTGTACTTCATCTTCTAATTTCAAAAGTGTAACTTAAAAATGTAAATATTGTTTTATATGAATTTAAATATAGTCTGTATATGTGTGTAGATCTCTCTAAAACAACTGCTTGTTGCTGCAATAAAATTATATATCTAGTTTTGATGTCAGGTATCACAAAAAAAACAGAATTATTATAGGTAAACTAAGTTGCTCTGTGAACTTTCACCCGAATCACAATGCAAAATTAAATAAATAAATAAAACTATTACCAAAAAGCAAAAAAAAAAAAGATTGTTACGGCCCAAAATACAGTCAAATTTAATTTGAATTTAATTCATCAGCTCTTTCAAATGTGACAAGGAAATTAGAGCTAAAAGTGGCTTACTGGGCCACACTGATTTATCTTGCTAAATAATTCTCTATAGAATCTCTTCTTATTTTAATATAATATTTTTTACTGTTTGCAAAATAAATTCATGACTATTCTCAATGTTTGGAAACAGCGTCAAAGTGTAAATAATACAACATAAATTACATGTAATCATACTGCTGAGAGATAGCCACTGTTTATATATAACTCATTGCCATCAAGTGGATTTGCCTCATAGTGATCCCTCCTTGGGTTTCCATGGCAGTTATCACTATGGAAGTAGATTGCCCAACCTTCATTCCAAGGAGTGGCTAGTGGGTTTGAACTGCCAGCCTTCTGGTTAGCAGTCAAGTGCCTTACGCACTACTCCACCAGAGCTCGCCTGTTTATATCTAGGTATATATTTTTTAGTCTCTTTCCTGTGGAGACATATATCTTTTTATATAAAATTAGGGTCAAATTACATTTATAATTGATTCTGTCATTTCACTACTGAAAACTTCCAATGGCTTTCTTAACAACCAAAAAACTAAAACCAAACCCACTGCCATCAAGTTGATTCTGACTCACAGAAACCCTACAGGACAGAGTAGAACTGTCCCATAGGGTTTCCAAGGCTGTAAAAATTTATGGAAGCCTACTGAGTCTTTCTCCTACAGAATCGCTGATGGGTTCAAACTGCCAAAATTTTGGTTAGCAGTCCAGTGCCTTAACCACTGTACCACCAGAGCTCCTGGCTTCGTAATACTCATACACATTTTAAACCCTTTATTTAATCAAAGAGCACTGGTAGCACTATGGTTAAAGCACTCAGCAGCTAACCAAAAGATCAGTGATTTGAGACCACCAGCAGTTTCTCTTGAGAAAAATTTGTCAGTCTGCTTCTGAAAAGATTTACAGCCTTGAAAACCCTATGAAGCAGTTCTATTCTGTCCTATAGGGCACAATGAGTTGGCATCACCTTGAATGGCAGAGGATTTGGGTTTATTTATTTTTTTTTTGGAGGGGGCAGGCATTTTACTTAATCTTGGCCTCAGAGATCCTGTATGATCTAGGCTTGCTTACCTCATCTCTCATTGTCCTCTTTGACTGCTAACCAGAAGGCTGGAGGTTCAAACCCACCAGCCACTCCTCAGAAGGAAGGTTGGGCAATCTACTTCCGTAATGATACCACCTCGGAAAACCAAGGAGGGGTCGCTATGAGTCGGATACGACTTGACAGCAGTGAGTCTGGTTTAGTTTGGTTTATCCTTCTCCTTAGACACACTTGTTTCCAACATAGTACTTTTGCACATGCCATCTCTCTGCTTGGGATGCTCTTCTCCCATGTGGCCATTTGGATTGCTATTGGTCAAATATTCACTCACATACCTCTTCCATTCTAAGTGGAATATACTGCCAAGTCCCATTGATATTGGGCTTGTTCATGCAACTTGTTTTATTCAATGGTATGTTAGCAAACATGACATAAACAATTGTTTCCATTACCTAGTGCTGCTCTGACAGGAGTATACCACAAATGGGGTGGCTTGAACAAACAGGAATTTATTCTTTTACAATTTTGGAGGCTAGAAGTCCAAGCTCCAAGTGCCAGGCTCTAGGGGCTGGGTGAGAGCCCCTCAACCTTGGGCTTCAGCTCTGCCTCTTGCTCCTGGCCCACTGAAGCTAGAGGCATCTCTTCACTCAGGCAGCTGCTGGCTGCTGAGGCCAACAAACCCAATGTTGACAAGTCTGAAGGCACAGTCCCAATATTATCAAACCACCCAGCAGGCCATTAATTCAAGTCCATTAAAAGTCCCAAGATCAGCAGAGCATGGCAAGCTGCTGAACAATGACTCGGCTATGTGCAGAGCTCAAGGGTGCCAAAAAGCTGGAGACCTTCTTGAAGCTGCTTCTTATATACTGGAAGAAGACCACATCCCTAAAGCAGCTACTCAGCTGCTCCAGTAGATTCCACCACGGGGCTGATTTTAGGACTCACCATGGGAAATAATGATACCCAGCTGCTCAGCCACTCAACCAGGCCTAAACAAGTTAACAACCTTAATTATTATAGCAATAGCTTGTAACATGTTTGCACAGTAGGGTTTTCCCTCTTATGCTCAGTCACTGCAATGAGTGGAACATGCCCCACTGGATTGCTAGCCCCAGAAGAGTGACACTCACTTGGAGCAGGCCTGGGGCCAATTCTCAACTTGGTAACAAGCCCAGCCAAACTGACACTGAACCAACTAAACCTTGTCTATCTACCTCAGAGAGAACAATGTGCTATTACTTTAAACCAGGGAGTTTGGGGATAGCGTGTTATGCATTATTATTATGGCAATACTTGATGGATATATCTCAAAGCTTTTCCTGTTTTATTGCTTCTCTTCAGTCAGATTTTGGTTCATATTTCACCTCTTCAAAGAGACCTTTGCACTGCTTTCTATCTCCTTGACTCTGCTTTATTGTTCTCCATAGTATTCCTCATAATACCTATGTCATATGTATCTGTTTGTTTGTTGTACCTCCTATTAGAATGTAAGCTCCAAGTGAGCAGAGATTGTATATTCTAGTGCCCGGCAAATAGTACATACCCAATAAATAATTGTTGAGTGAATTAATGAGTAAGTAAGTACTTGGATCTCCTGGTTTTTAAAAAACTTAGCATTATACTATAAGCAATTATTTCCATCTCCATATCATTAGACATTTAGTTTGCCTCTAATTTATAATGTTGGCTATTATAAACAACATTACTAGTCCTACAAGGAGCTCTGGTGGCTCAGTGCCCATGGTACTGCTAATCAGAAGTTTGGCAGTTCAAATCCACCACCCGCTCCATGGAAGGAAGACAAGGCAATCTACTTCTGTAAAGATTTACCACCTTGGAAACCCAATGGGGGTTGCTATGAGTCAGAATTGACTCAATAGCAGTGAGTTTGGTCTTTGGTTTTTTTGGGGTGGCTAAAACTGGTAAGCTCTGAGCTATTAACTAAAAGCTTGGTGGTGCAAATCCACCCAGGGATGCCTAGGAAGAAAGAACTGGAGATCTGCCTTGAAAACCATACAGAGTGCAGTTCAGCTTTGCACTCGTGGGGTCACCATGATTCCTGTATAGATGTGTATAACAACACTACTGTAGACATCCTTTTACATAAATCTTTCAATATATTCCTAATTATTTCCTTAGGGTAAATGCCTAAATCAAAGGCTATGACAAATATTCAAACACATTTTTCTTTCTAAAGTTTATATAAATTTTCACTTTGACTCAGAATGAGAGAAATTTCACTCAACTTTTGACAAAACTTAAATTTCATAATTTTTTCATCAGTAAAGTAGTTGAAAATGGTATACCCATTGTTTTAGTTTGCATTCTTTGTTTTATTGGTGAGTTTAAATATTTTTTCACATGTATTACATTTTCATATGTAATTCTTTGGGAAATAGGTTCTCATGGCCTTTGCCCATGTTTTTCTGTTAGCATTTTTTTCATTGACGCTTAAGAATTCTTTCTACCTTAAAGTTACTAGGATTTATGAATTATCTCAAATGTTGCAAATATATTTTTAACTGTTTCTTTTTCTTTCAATAACAAGCCACTAAAGCATAGTATATAAGATACTGGCTTTTGGAGTGAAATAAAACTTAACTTTAAACATCAGTTCTGCCACTTTCTAAACATATGATCTTGAACAAATAACATCCTGACAAAGCTTCAATTTCTCATCAGTAGAGTGTGAAAAATAATGCCTATTACATAGGATTGTTGGGGTTTTTTTCTTTTTATTGTGATTTGGGTGAAAATTTACAGAGCAAATACACTTTCCATTACAGCAGTTCACATACACTTTGTCTCATGACATTGACCACAATTTACCACAATGCAACATCTCCCCTCCCACTTCCTCCCGATAGTTACTTCTTCCCTGTGTCCATCCCTCCATGCTCTCCTGCCCCCTGAGCTGTCTCCCTGTGCATAAGCAGTGCTTCTTTCTCCCATGCTTGTTCTCTCCAAGGAGTGTATCTACCTCAGGTAAATGTTCAACTCATATGGCTGTCTATTGTTTGGCTGGAAGTCACAGGCATGAGTTCAATTCCAGACCTGAAGGGCAGCTATGGGCCATAGTCTCAGTGGTTCCACCAGGCTCCATCGGGCCAGCAAAACTGGTCCCCCCCCCTTTTTTTTTCCCAAATGATTTTGAGTTTTGTTCCACATTGTTCTCCCTGTCCATCCAGGATCTCCTACACTGATCCTCTTCCAAGTGGTTGACAGTAGTAGCCAGGCATCACCTAGTTCTTCTGTTCTCATAGTTGTATAGGCTGCAGATCAGATGGTGTACCAGTCACTAGGACTAATTGTTTCCGTGAATTTTTTGTTTTCTTCATTCTTCTTGGGTCTGGACAAGGAGAGACCCATCATTGCATCTAGATGGCAGCTTGCAAGATTTTAAGATCCCAGTTGCTACTCACCACAGTAGGAGGTAGAACAATGTTTTGTGTAGTATGTTATGCCAATTGAGCTTGACTATTACATAGGATTATTGTGAAGATTAAGATAGATAATGTATGTCTCGTCAGTTGAGGTTCTTTGATTTTAAACAACATAAACTAATCCTGAGTAATTTCAGCAAAACTATTAATGTATTAGTATT